CATTGTCCACCAGCCTATTTCACCAACCCCGCTTGCAAATAGAAGTTCCTATTCGTATTATTTATGATCCTGAAATTTATAAAAAAAAAACCCGGAAATTCTATTAAACATTTAATTTATTAAAAGATATAAAACTGTTAAATTACGCCACAAATATTGTTAAAATTGTTTTATTGGAAAGCATTTGTTAAGTACGCAGTATCCATTTATACAAATACGGTAATATTAAATATCAGATTAAAATGTCGTGGAAAGCATTTGTTAAATTTCAGGTTAAGAATGAAAGTTCAGTATTAGAAATACGGATTTCTTGGAAACAGCCTTAAAAATATAAATATCATTTTGTGTAGGGTTGAGTGAACAAGAGAATGTAACCAACGTTTACCAAATACGCTAGATAAATTCACTTAAAAATAATCCATTCTTGGTAAATCAAACTCGTTGGTTTTGCCGAATTTTTTTTTCTGACGTCATTATTAACACCGATATTTTTCACTACTATAAAAAAAACGTCACACTGATCAGCAGTGAATATTCGCTAGGCCGTGACAATCACTGATAAGAAAGAGAGAGAGAGAGAGAGAGAGAGAGAGAGAGAAATGGGTTTAACGTCCACTCGACACAAACTAGGTCATTTCGGGACTAACATATGGTTTAATTTTATTTACATAATCTGCTTGCGCGTAGGGGTCTTTAGCAGTTGGAGGAAACCGGAGGACCCGGAGAAAACCCACGAGGTTGGACAGGCGACCCTACTCCTTGCCACGTACAACCGGGGATTCGAAACCACGCCAGTCGACTCAATGGCAGACTTTATGATACAGCGCGCGCACGCTAACCATTCAGCCATCCACCCCCACCCCCCCACTGATAAGAATGACATCGATGCGATTTAATTAGCCACAAATATTAACTTTTTTCCTCCGATAAATTAAATTCTAAAACATTATTTATGTATTAGAAAAATAAATAAAGACGTTTCACGTATTAGTAGGTAAAATTATTTCCTATTTAGTGTAAATGGGTATTAAAATGAGTAAAAGGCTCCTTTCCGCCCGAACCAATAAGGTCATATGTAAACAATGCACGCGCCATTGAGCCAATGATTGATGCCGCGTGATGAAAAGTCACGTGTTGAAGGTAGTCATCTTTTACAGAGATCTTAGAAGACTTTCGTAATCCTCTGTGAAACAGATTGAAAAAACGTTAGCTTTAGATCATATGGTTAAAACCTGGTTTGACTGGGGATGGGTGTGCGTGCTGGGGTGCTGAGTGGTCTAATGCGTGCGCCTTAAATCTCATACGGTCTGCCATTGAGTCAAGTGTTGTGGTTTCGATCCCAAGCTTGAACGTTACAAGGAGTAACCTTCGAGTTCCCCCTCTGCTGAAGACTCATGCGGCCAATCGCATTATCAAAATAAAATTGTACAAAATGTTAGTCTATAAACGACTGTGTTAAATGGGCGTTAAACCCATTTCCTCCAGGAAACAAATCAATTGTCTTGTTTTTTACCCTAATCTCAATATCTTTAAATGGCGTATGGCTCTATTCTTTGGAACCGTAAAGGGCCAATCTCGATTATAAAGACCAGGATACGCCATACAGTGTGCTATGAGAGAAACTTTACCCGGGCAGCAACACTACGCCGTACTCTTATATCATATTCCAACTGTGAATTGATTTTTTTACGTGCACGCCAATGTGTACACGAGACCCCGGTTTTTCGACCCATCCACGCCGGAAAATCTCGGTCAGTGCAGGGATCGAACACCCGACCTCCAGGCTAGCGAGCCAGTGTCTTACCCACTTAGGCACCGTGACCCCCTTCCCCTTAAATGACACAATATATTGAGCTGAAATTTTCAGACATGGCCAATACACCATTCCTCAATATTGTGGCGCTTAAATGTCATACGTACACAGACAGGGATGTTTCCTTTAAAATTGACCAAAATTTGTCTAAAAGTCCATATTAATGTAATATGAATGTATATAAAGTGATTTATATCACTGTTTTCAATTTTGTAATGAAATGTTGTATGAATTGATATATATTGATTTACATTTAATTTTGTCAATATTGTAATCATTTATGTTCGGTGAAATACCAATCTGATTAAAACACAGATCCTATTTCGTTTCGTTTTTATAGTTCAAAATTTCGTTTTACATGTCTTTACTACACTAGGATCAGGGCCCGGTTCCTAGAAAATTCTTAAAGTAAGCACAGAGTCATGCTTCACTTTTTCTTACGTAAGAAAATTCTCAAGACCATTCTTACGAAAGCACAAGTCAAGTATAAGTCTAAGCACATTGTGACTGGTAAAGTTTACCATAAACTGAGACTACGATGGTATCAAAAGGTGTCGGAAATGCCGTCGAATAACTCTACGGTCAGCCATCTTTTTGAAGCAGAAACAGACTTAAGCTTAGTAAGCAAGCCGTATACCTTGCTTCGGACTTGTGCTTAGATTGACTATGTTTAAGAACGAAGTTGTGCTTAAGTTTTTTCTTGGAACGCATAATAACGTTCTTGTGCTTACAATGAAGTCTACTTAAAATCTAAGCACAAGAACGTTCTTAAGAATTTTCTGGGAAGACAAAATAAGGTAAGTTTACTTAAATGCAAAGTCTACTTAAATCTAAACACAAGAAAGTGCTTAAGAATTTTCTAGGAATCGGGCCCTGGAAGAGTTGTTATTATTGACGTGTTCTGAATGGTGTGAGGTATAAGCCAATGAAACGGTCTGTTACGGTCAGCTTTAGGCGTGTTTTGCACGGAACTGTGGGTAACCCACTAGTAACATCAATGCTGATTGGTTAATCAAATGTCTGATGTCGTAGGGTCAAAGGCTGCTCGTATGACCTCTGACGTGAACTATCGCAACAACCGGTCAGATCTTCATGTAGTGTAGGCCATCGAAAGTATAAAAAACGATACGAAATAGAGATCTGTATTTTAATCAGATTGGTGAAATACGTGAACAATCAAAATTCAACGACAGTCGTTTACTACGCCCACTTATGCTAGGTTCTCACTGTCACGATTTACGCTACGACTGAAATCTCGGACTAATCGTGGTGATCATATCAGGTCTTATCAAATATTGAGGTAAGTCGTGGCAATCGTGTTTCGTATCGAAAAGTATCTGAACGTATCTTAACATATACGTGATACGTTACGTCAATGTAGTTTTAGAGTTTTGGCAGATTTTCGCGTCGCATACGTATGCATCGCTGAGTTGAGCCTAGTTCTATTACAGGATGATGGCAGATATCTACCAAGATCACCATCAGTACTAATCAAGTACCTAGCCTACAATTTCTCGACAGTCGCTAAGTTATTAAGAAAAATTTAATGTCGAATCTTATTTTAAAAGATCTTCGACAGCAATTTTGGGTTTCACTAACGTATCATTTCAGAAACCTTATACCCCTTTACTATAGAATAAAATCATTTACAGATTACAAAGTCCAACCTCCCTAAATTTAGCATGTAGATCAACCAGCATGCAGGCAGGAGAAGTATAAAAATAATGATTAAATTCCAATCTTTATCATGGTTAAATCAAATCATATATAGGTCTTCGTGTTCTAGGATATATATCTTGGTTCATAAAAACGCTACGATACAATTCAGCGTCTAAAAGTAGCACAAAAGACGGCGAAAAGACGACAATGTTATACGGACCTTTTCCGTATGAAAGTTGTTCGATACGTGCTGCCGTATCCGTGTGCCGTATCTCGTATGAGACATACACATACATTGATGACGTCACGCACAAAATCCATACGGATACGCGATACGGACAAGGAATTTACACTTGCCAATCGTAACGCATCGCACGACAGTGGGAACCCAACCTCTAGACTGCGCTTTGTCCATGCTTAGTCATGGAAACCGCGCATTGTAAATAGACTATAATTTATTAGATTAACCGTTTCAAATTTCTAAGAAATGATATAAAAAAAATTAGATAAATGTTCAGATAATATATATGAAAAGCATAGATTTATTACATGTGATGTGTCTATGGGCGTCACACATGGGGGGGCGTCACACATGGGGGGGGGGCGGGAGGGGGGGTCTGAATATACTAGGATTCCCCCCCCCCCAAAAAAAAAATTACATAGTAGGCCCTAACTCCTATTTATTTACAACAATTATTACGAGTAGTTAAGATTCTATCTGTATAAAACCTGTATATATCCTAATATGGTTTACATTGCTAAAATAAAACACAGAGAGAATCATCCTGGAGACATGTGTGAAGTAAAATGTAACTGTGTTCCATAAAATTGTGTCTAGTTAGCCTGTCCTCAAGCGTAACATTCAATATGTAAACGTCATGAAAAAAATATGAATACGGCACCCTCTGACTTAAACATGATAAACATTGTATTGGTGTTATGACAAAACAGTGTTTACAGAAGACTGGAACTTTAAAAAAATGTTTATGGGGGTGCCCCCCCCCCCCACCAGCACACTCTCCCTATCGCGCTCCCTATCGCACAGTCTCGTGTTTCACGGCTACGCCTCTAGATGTGTCACTGAAAGGTTTAATATACCTGGGATTAGCGCAGGCGTATAGAATGACATAAATACTCAGATTTGGAGGGTGGTCGCTCACTGATAGCTGAGCTGTTCAGACAATATGAAGCCCTTGCTCATTGTGCTCGCACTGGTTGCTATTCTGTGGCAAGAATCGTCTGCTTCCACGTAAGTGTATAACTGCTAATTTAATTTATTATAATTTAATATTTAACGTAAAGCTTTTCGTGTTTGATTTATATTCCATTGCTGTTCATCTGTTGTACACGAAATTTAAAGTTGACGCATTTTTGTACACCGCAGCTGAACTGCTTCGGTGCAAGTGCATAACTGCGTTTATTGTAGGATGACCCTCCCACACTCTCCCTATCGCGCTCCCTATCGCACAGTCTCGTGTTTCACGGCTACGCCTCTAGATGTGTCACTGAAAGGTTTAATATACCTGGGATTAGCGCAGGCGTATAGAATGACATAAATACTCAGATTTGGAGGGTGGTCGCTCACTGATAGCTGAGCTGTTCAGACAATATGAAGCCCTTGCTCATTGTGCTCGCACTTGTTGCTATTCTGTGGCAAGAATCGTCTGCTTCCACGTAAGTGTATAACTGCTAATTTAATTTATTATAATTTAATATTTAACGTAAAGCTTTTCGTGTTTGATTTATATTCCATTGCTGTTCATCTTTTGTACACGAAATTTAAAGTTGACGCATTTTTGTACACCGCATCTGAACTGCTTCGGTGCAAGTGCATAACTGCGTTTATTGTTAAATATTTTTTTTGACAAATTACGTCTTTAATTTAATATTTAACATTTTGCTTACCGAATTTATATTCCATTTCCACTCACCTTTTGTACACGTAAGTTAAAGTTAGGGCATTTCATTCGTTTATTTTTGGGGGATCACGTGGCTAAGTGGGTAAGGCGCTGGCTTGCTAGCCTGGAGGTCGGATATTCGATCCCTGCATTGACCGAGAAAGTTCATCCAGATTTTTCGGCGTGGTTCCCCCTTGTCAGCAATGCAGGACGGAGGGCCTGACAAGGACAGCTGTCTAGCCGTTCGGATGGGACGAAAAAACCAGGTCCTGTGTATATATTGGAATGCACGTAAAAGATCCCCTGGCAGTTGGAATTCGATATAAGAGTAGGCGATAGTGCCGCTGCCCAGGCAAAATTTCCCTCACAGCACACTGTATGGCGTATGCCCGTCTTCATTAGCCCAGTATAGGAGCAGAACAGTAGGACGGTAAACCCCATTTCATTTACTAAAATGTCGCACACTAGACTAGACAGTAGGACGTTAAACCCCATTTCATTTCATTTCATTTCTTTTTATTGTAGAGTGCCGTTAAAGATGTAAGATTTAGATAAAGCAATAGCCGTCCTTTCTATAATAGTTAAAAACTAGAGAGTGAAAAATGAATATATTAAAAATTTCACTCAAATTACTTTATTCTGTTCGAAGTTATGGGCTATTGAAGTTTTGTCAAATTCAGCGTAGATTGTTTATTATAGTAACTATGGCATTTGACAAACGAGACTTTGTCCCAGTTATCTATACGTCGTTAAACCTTTAAATAACGACCGTGTTATAATTTACTTAAAATATGAACCATCCTAAGTTCTAGGAAGTTGATTATGGGCTTGACATGTGAATAATTCTCTAAATTAAAATTTCAAGAAGATCTGTAATAGGCAGATATAACTCTTACACAATGCATCTTTACTACTTGCGCGAAGGATGTGCGTTTTGTAAATATTGTGTTATGAAATGAAAGGGCATGTGGTTTTATGGTACGTCAGCTCCAACCGGGCTATATTGCGCCAAAATATGGTGACATCTCGAGACAAATTAAGTAATATCACATTAATATATTAATCTACATCAATAAAACATGTATCACAGTCAATATAATTAAAAGTATATAATATAGTAATATCACATTAATATACATCAATATGTATCACAGTCAATATAATTAAAAGTATATAATATAGTAATATCACATTAATATACATCAATATGTATCACAGTCAATATAATTAAAAGTATATAATATAGTAATATCACATTAATATACATCAATATGTATCACAGTCAATATAATTAGATTTATATAACATAAAATTTAATGTAGGCCTATATTAATATCTAAAATATGAAACATATAAAAATGTATATATATATATACAAATATTTTCGATAAAAATTTGTCTCCTTTAAAAAGTCTAACGTTTTACAATGCAAGATTGGCAACGGTAATACTTTGATCTAGTATGATTGGGGTGCTTGTACTCAGTCTGAATGTGCTTAACTGTCAAAGGAACATGACATGGTTCACATTCCGGTTGAGGCTCTCGCTTTAAGATAAAAATGAGAGTTTAAAAAAAGTATGACAAATGCGTGGGCGACACAAAGATACATTGTGTTATGATTAAACATGCATTATGCAAGAGCTAAATCTGTCTATTGCAGGTCTTTCTTTAGGCCTGAAATGTTATCTAAATTATTAATTATACATTAATTAACCCATCCAGACCATAATCAACTCTAGATGGCATCGTTAGCCTGCGATCTATGGTGGATTGTGAGCCGATTTACTGCATAACTTTCCTTCTCCATTAAACGATTAACTGGATAATCGAGACTATGCTGTTTATCGTACTGATTTTAGTAATGATGACCGAGGCTAGGCAGAAATTTGATTCGCTTAGTTCTCGGTTCATAGTGGATCAATTTGGATGAAATTTTCAGCAAATTGCCTTTACGTTATCAAGTTTTTAATTATTATAGTGAGAACTGCCAACTCGTTATCGAATCTCCCATAATGTATCTTTAATATAATAGATTGATTCGGCGACTCAATGAAAAGTTGTCAACTGGTTGTATGCTCTTCTTTGGGCGGCATTTAGCAACTGATATACGTCATACAAAAACATAATATGGAACACAATTACTATTTTAATTAAAGCGACGTTTCGTTGAGGGTTCTCTCAACGTTTTCAAGCAAATGATATTCAGAAACAATACAAAACTACGAAAATGCACTGCTGTTTTTATTAGAGGTAACCGGTGTATGTTAATACCTGGCCAATAGCCTACACATGAACATAAACAGTTCATAGGGACGGCTTATCCGACGGCTCCATTTCACTCGCAAAGAGATACACTGTCAAAAGTGAAAATGGACGTTTTTGATTTTTGTCCTAATAATGAGTAATTGCTCCACCAATCCTCAGACATTCAGCAATTCGTCGTGGCATGCTCCTAATCAACCGTCCAATCACGATTTGGGGCAATCTGACCCACTCCTCTTGCAGTGCCACGGCCAATTCTTGCAGTGTTGTCGGTTGACGTTGACGTTGACGAACACGTTTCCGGATCAAATTAAACGTAATACACTAAAGCAAAGATACGCTAAACAGTAAATTTTATGCAAGAACCTATAGGAAAGCAAACATGGATAGGATAAACCAGCAAGCGGCAGTTTTTATCAACCCTTCCTTGAAGTGTCAAATTTGACAATGAAGCCCTCTCACGTGTATGGCACTATTGCGTGTCGCATGTACAGCTCAGTGGTTCTGTTGAGGCGATAAGTTCTTCATCTGTGAACATACTCTTAAAGCATGTTAAGTGTCCATGACTATTTATCATATCACAACCTGCATAGGTATTTGCATTTCAATATTCCCTACGTTTTTGGACGAGTATTTTTTAAACCCACTCAGTTCTATTTATACTGAACTTACTTCATAACTTATCGTGCGGATTCCCGGGGAACCTGTCAAAAAGCTTGGTGACAGTGACATAGTTGTGAGAGACAACACTATGTCCGTATTTACGCTACATTGAAAGTTACCACGAGAAAAACTATTTATCATTTATATTTACCGTTCTATCAGATTTGAGAAAGTTTCAGCGCAGTTTATCCTTGTCAGTGGTGCCGAAAGAAGTGTGTGGTAAGGAACAGCGTCTAGTCGTTCAGATGGGACGAAAACCAAGTTCAAGTGTACGTGAAATAACCATGAGAGTTTGAATTCGACGAAGAACATACGGAAATACCGTTGTCAGGACCAAATGTCCCTAATTACACACTGCATGCCGGGTGTCTGTCTTCATTATCCCGGTTGGTGCAAACGCTAGGACGTAAAACCCCATTTCATTTCATTTTTTAAACTTTCTTGTAAAGTAGTTATTTTCTTTTTTCAGTTGCTCGTATTCCTGTCGCAAATCTTACGAAACTTCTTACAAATGTGGTTTCTGGGGATGGAGTAGATGTAAATCAACAGCGTAAATAAATATTATTTTAATTTTTAGATGTTACGTAGGAAAGCACATTTTAATATGGAACATTTCGTGAAAAAAAATGTAATGGAAAGATTCTTGATATACATAATTTTTAATTTAGTGTAAATTGAGGATTTATGAATTCTACACCCTTGTTATTTGTATTGTTTGTCAATAAAATTGCTGGTTCATTGCAATTATATTATATCTATTAAGATAAGTGATACTGAATCATAATTAACCGAGATTCTACATTACATAAATCATTAGGATGATAAAACAACGAGCAAGATATCGTGAGAATTTGCTAAAACAAAATATGATAAAAATCTATATTTGAATGTGTTACACTTCATCAGAACGTTTTGTGTAATTTATATAATTTATTTACAGGTATCGTACTGGTACGTGCTACAGAACATGCAGTAAGTAATCATTTGTATTCTTTCATTCATGGATTATTACTTTATAGAAAGAACAATTACTTCATATAATGGATAATTACTTTATATAATGGATAATTACTTTATGTCATGCATAATTACTTCATATAATGTATAATTACGTTATGCAATGGATCATTACGGTATGCAATGAATAATTACTTCATATAATGGATAATTACTTTATGTAATGGATAACTGATTTGCGTAATGGATAACTAATTTATATAACAGATAATTATTTTATATAATAGATAATTATTTTATATTATGGATAATTGTTTTAAATAATGGGTAATTTATGTATGAATGATTAATTTCTATAAAGGATAATTCATTTATATAATAAGTATTTACTTCATATGAAGGCTAATTACTTCATATGAAGGTTAATTACTTCATATGAAAGCTAATTACTTCCTATGAAGGCTAATTACTTCCTATGAAGGCTGATTACTTCATATTATAGCTGATTACTTTATATAATGAATCAAATCAAATCAAATCTTTATTAACCTTGAACCACTGTTTCATCGGTAAACATAGTAACATAAGAATACAATTATATACAATATATACAGTGAATAGAGAGCAAACAAACGAATTAAACATTACAGTATTACTATAATATGATATTAACTACAATCTATTAAGGGTATTGCCTCTTAACTTATTAGCAAAGTATAGATATTTACCTAGTTTTAAAAGTTCTAAACAATTTTGGCTTTTTAGTAGTTCTATTAATTTTTCCATATTTGGTCTAGTATAGTAATATTTCTTTATAAATTTTGACCTAAGTTCAGCAAAGAATGGACATACAAGTACAAAGTGATATTCATCTTCAATTTCATCACTTTCACAGAGTGTACAAATTCTTTTTTCTCCCGGTATTGACTCATATCTTCCAGTTTCGATCCTCAATTTATGACTAGATAATCTTAACTGTGTTCAATACATATAGTCAAATAGGACTGGACAACAAAGTGATTAACAATATTTCTATAAATAATACATTTAAAAGATTCGTTTAAATTTTCCACACATTTCTGTCTAAAGTTATCACATAGTCGTTGTTTGATAATGACAATATCTGAGTTAAAAAACATTCCCGCTTGAAAATTTCTCTCACATATATAACCCAAACCAATACTATATAATTCAGACTTTACATTAATAATCCATTTATCATTGTTAGTTAACATATCTTTATAACAAGCTTTAAGGACAATATTGTCAGTGTTAATTAAACGAGACCAATATTTAAATATTCGCAATTTTCGATGAATAGTTAAAGGGTATCGCCCAGTTTCAAAATAAACCATAGACGTGTTCGTGTTTTGTCTGACTTCAAGGGTTCTTTTAAAAAAATAAAGATGCAATAATTCGATATCATGGGCACTATGGAAGCCCCATACTTCGGAAGCATAGTTAAAGATACAAGATACAAATGTATCAAATACAGATAGCTTAGAGACCAGATTAAAATTGTTTACTTTACAGGTTTTCATGACAGAAAATAAGGCTTTTCTTCCATGATCTGCTAAGGTTTTTTGTGTTAATAAAATTGAAATTTATACCTAAGTAACTAAAATTGTTCACAATTTCAATATTGACACCATTATAACTCCATTTTTCAAATGCTTTTAATTTGCCGCCATTTCTATAAATTAAAATCTTGGTTTTATCAGTGTTGACAATAAGACCCAATTTATTTGCATATGTATATAAAGAATTAAGCATATCCTGTAGTCCCGCTGGGGAGTCCGAAAATAGAACTTTGTCATCTGCGTACATCAGGAGAAATATCTTTAGCATATCCATATCTATTAGTTTACAATTCTCGGATATAAAGTGCCTCTCACAATCGTTGATGTAGAACGAGAATAGCAAGGGAGACAATACCTCACCTTGAAATAAGCCAGTCTTGCATTCAAAATAATCAGAAACATCGCCATTAAATTTTACATTACAGATAACCTTATCATACAATGACCTAATTATAGTTAGTATTTTACCCCCAATTCCTACTTGGATGAGCTTGTACCATATATTTGTTAAAATCACAAAATCGTGCGCTTTACGGTAATCGACAAAACAGACATATATCCTACGTTTGGACTTCAGAAATCGATTAATAATAGTTTGCAAAATGAAAATGGCATCAACAGTTGACAAGTTCTTCCGAAATCCAAATTGGTAATCAGAGATCTTCTTTTCGCGTTTATCTAACTCAAGGAGGCGAGTATTTAGAATGGATGTGAATAATTTCCCTAAACATGAGACTATTGTTATTCCGCGGTAATTGTCAGTGTTACAAGGATTTCCTTTCTTAAAAAGTGGAACAATATTGTCTTTGGCCCATTCTGTTGGAAATAGCCCTGACTCCAGAACATTATTAAATAATATTACCAAACATGGTAGGAGCTCACCCTTACAATATATTAGAAATTCATTTGGAATATTGTCAGAGGCGGATGCTTTGTTCTTCTTCAAATGAGAGATACCTGACAAAATGAATAACTACTTTATATAATAGATAACCAATTTATAAAATGGATAAATAATTCATACAATGGATAATTACTTTCGATAATGGATACTTACTTTGATAGATTGGAAATGGTTACTTGAAATATAATGAATAAGACGACATATTACATTAACATGGGTTAGTATTCTTATAATATTAGTATGAATTCTGTGTTTATTAATTTTGTGTGTATTTCCTTAACAGCACATGGTGGCTATTCGAGTTGGTCCACAACCTATGGCACTTGTTCTCAAACATGTGGTGGTGGCATCCAGCGTGTTACCAAGAAACGATACTGTACCAATCCACCGCCTTCAGGAGGAGGTCGCCCATGTGCTGGGTCATCCTACAGTTATACAACACAAACCTGTAACACACAATCGTGTCCAGGTAATTGCATACAGGTTCTTTCAGACTTCAGTTTTAAGTACGTTAACACCCACACAACCCTCCCTGGCGTTATTCAGATAGATACAATGTTATTGAATCTGGATCTCCATCATGGACAGGATACAGTGTTTACAGATTTTTTTATGAAATGGTTAGACTTTTAAATAATTGTGATAGGGATAACATTCGCAAACATCAATTTGGGGAGCCATTGTAACTCAATGAGAAAAGGGTGGACTTTTTAAAATAATTGTGATAGGCATAACATTCGCAAACATCAATCTAGGGAGTCATTGTAGCTACGTGAGAAAAGGATGGACTTTTTAAATAAATATGATCGGCAAAACATCTATTGGGAGAGCCATTGTAGCTCAGTGAGAAAAGGGTAAACTTTTGAAATAAATATGATCGGACCTGATCGGCAAAACATCCATTGGGAGAGCCATTGTAGCTCAGTGAGAAAAGGATGGACTTTTTAAATAAATATGATCGGCCAAACATGATCAGCAAAAAAATAATGGGGAGAGCCATTGTAGCTCACTAACAACGAGATCTGTCCTGTGTCCACGAGGTTGACAAGGCGCCCCTATCCCAAAGCTACATATGCTTACATCAGACCTCGAAACCATGACCGCAAGTAAGAAATAAATGGTCAGTTGGAGCTCGAAGCGCGACACTCTAGACCTTTAGGCATCTTGATTTTGCTGGATTTAAGGGCTAATTCTGCGTCCATTTTATTACACGTGTGCAATGCAAATGTGTAAATCTGTTTAACGTTTTCATTTTTTTGGGTAGTGACGTTAGTTCAAGAGAGGGGATCACGTGGCTAAGTGGGTAAGACGCTGGCTCGCTAGCCTGGAGGTCGGGTGTTCGATCCCTGCATTGGCCGAGAAAGTTCATCCAGATTTTCCGGCGTGGTTCCCCCTTGTCAGTGATGCAGGACGGAGGGCCTGACAAGGACAGCTGTCTAGTCCTTCGGATGAGACGAAAAACCGAGGTCCCGTGTATATATTGGAATGCACGTAAAAGATCCCCTGGCAGTTGGAATTCGATATAAGAGTAGGCGATAGTGCCGCTGCCCGGGCAAAATGTCCCTCATAGCAGACTGTATGGCATATGCCCGTCTTCATTAGCCCAGTATAGGAGCAGAACAGTAGGACGTTAAACCCCATTTCATTTCATTTCATTTCGTTAGTTCAAGAGTAACGTGGCACCGGTGAAACCCGTCACCATTGCATCGCAGTTCTAGTTTCTACTTGTTGTTTTCCAGTTGATGGCGGTTTCAGCAGCTACAGATTAACTAATACAGGAGCTTGCAGTAAGACTTGTGGTGGTGGAGTAAAACAACTGACCTACACAAGATCCTGTTCTAATCCTGCACCACAATATGGTGGAAGAAGTTGTGTTGGTGCAACTACTAAAACCCAGCCAAGCGCTTGCAATACACAGCAGTGCCCAAGTAAGTACCAGTATCTTCAAATAACATATTTGATGTTGGATGGTTATATCTCTGGGAAGTTTCCATGGTTCAGGTTATCTCCCATTAAGTGGTGTAATGCAAAAAAAACGGCGTTTAATGTCCTACTTCAACCCATTTAGCCTTAGATATCCATGGATTTTATACACTGGACAGCTTATCCTTTTCTCTTTTGGACACCTCGTATCATTGTTGCCCTGATACCACTGACTAATTTGTTAATGAAATTGTTTGTCATTGAATCATATCACTGTTAACCTAATACCATTGACCAATGAACCAAGAGGATTTACTAATTTGTTAATGATCTATTTGTCATTGAATCATAGAAATGATCATTATTTTAAACTAATCTTTATTAAATATATATTAGACTTCCAATCACTTTTGTCATTTGTCACTATTCCACTAACAAGTTTTTCGACTTTTCCTATCTGTGACATAGTCCTCGCAATGTTTCGTTTGATTAGAGCTAATCCCACTTAACACTGCTATAACGAAAGCAAATTTCTGTTCCAAATTATGACTGGTCAATAGTCCGATTAACAAAATGATTGCGCTTTAAACAGAGTTCCAAATTGGATCAAAGTGGATCATTTTTTACCTGGACGTATTTTTTATTTATTTATGCATTTATCTACCGTAAACAAAGAAGTACTTGTACTTTGTTTACGGTAGGTAAATGCATGAATAAATAAAAAATACGTCTAGGTAAAAAAATTCTCCACTTTACTTTATACTGACATACATTAAATCATATAAGCTAGCTGTCTGTCCTCTATAGGCGTCTTCATACATATATATATTTATATATATATATATATTTATTGTCCCCCGCCTTTCGAAGAAAGCAGGGGACTATTAAAATGGGTTCGTCCGTCTGTCTGTCTGTCTGTCCGTCTGTCTGTCCGTCACACTTTTTGGGACACAATAACTCTCTTCCTAATTGAGCTAGAATGTTCAAACTTAATGTATGTGTTTATTAGGTCAATGCCTTGATGGAGTTCGAAGATGAGCATTTTCCGCTTAGAGTAAGCAGAGATAAGCAATTTGATTGGTTGATGCTTTGGGACACGATAACTCTCTTCCTAATTGGGCTAGAATGTTCAAACTTGGTGTATGTGTTGATTAGGTCAATGCCTTGATGAAGTTCGAAGATGAGCATTTTCCGCTTAGGGTAAGCAGAGATAAGCAATTTGATTGGTTGATGCTTTGGGACACGATAACTTTTAATTGAGCTAGAATGTTCAAACTTGGTGTATGTGTTTATTAGGTCAATGCCTTGATGGAGTTCGAAGATGAGCATTTTCCGCTTAGGGTAAGCAGAGATAAGCAATTTGATTGGTTGATACTTTGGGGCACGATAACTCTCTTCCTAATTGAGCTAGAATGTTCAAACTTGGTGTATGTGTTGATTAGGTCAATGCCTTGATGGAGTTCGAAGATGAGCATTTTCCGCTTAGGGTAAGCAGAGATAAGCAATTTGATTGGTTGATGCTTTGGGACACGATAACTTTAGTTATAATTAAGTGAGATTGATGAAACTTGGTGTATAGTTTCATTACAGTAATACCTTGACTAAGTTTGATAATTGAGCATCAATTGAGCAATTCCAATACAATGAATATAGGCAAGGTAAATAAACAAATAAATGGAAAAAACAAATTGAAAAAGAAACTATTATAAATTAATTAAATATGTAGTATGCAATAATGAATTGACATTTAATGACAGAAAGAAAACAGTGAACTTTGCACAACTTGCAGCAAGATGGAAAATAGACCCGTTGATACAACCAAACTCTAGATCTGTAGGCATAGAGCATGTTTTCCCCTTAATATGCTATAATTATTCCATCAAAAACATTGTATGCTTAGACTATAAGTAAAGATATACTGTTTGATTGTTCAATACTTTGTAAAAGATAATTTGTGATAAATTTATATGTGTCCTCTAATTATTTTCCTATTTCGGCGGGGGACATCAGCCTCACTGTTGGCTTGTTTTTTATATATATATATATATATATATATATATATATATATATATATATATATATATATATATATTAAAGTAGACCAAGTACAAGTATATATAAAACACGTGGTTAGAAATTGTGTACAACTTGTGTAGAAGCGTGACTATTTCTAATATCCATCACTATTGAATATACGAACCTGACTAATAGTGGTGTATATCATTCATAGTCTCGGTTTACCCGATAAGCAATATGTATATATGAAATGACAATTTTGCTCGTCGGACGCTAACGAAAAAAACCCCGAAAGACCTAGGTCTGTGCCAGGAAACGCCACTGCCCAAGCAAAATTTCCACCACAGCACACTGCATGGCTTATGTCAGTCTTCATAATGTTGTGCAGAAAAAGTATGGCGTTTAACCCCATTTCCCTTTTTGTTTCGTTTTGTTTTGCAGTCAATGGAGGTTGGACCGACTATACCTTAGATAATACAGGTGACTGTAGTGTAACTTGTGGAGGTGGAAATAAGACTCTGTCCTACTCCAGAACATGTTCAAACCCCAGACCACAATATGGCGGTGAGGATTGTGACGGCGCAAGTACTAAAGATACACAGGAGGCCTGCAACACTCAGCATTGCCCAAGTGAGTGATCAGCTTGAATATATTATTTTTATATTTGTAATTTTATTTTTACGTTATGTGACGAGGCAAGATTTCAATCTCTACCAGCTTTCGGTTCAAGTCAAGGAAGATAATGTCTAGACTGTTATAATACACAATTGTTGTTTGTTTTGGCTATGCTTTGTTGCACATGTTTATAGTCTAAATTGTCTGTAAATTACTCTAAAAGAATGCCCCGCAAAAATAATAATGGGGAGAGCCATTGTAGCTCACTAACAACGAGATCTGTCAAGTGTCCACGAGGTTGACAAGGCGCCCTTATCCCAAAGCCACATATGCTTACATCAGACCTCGAAACCATGACCGCAAGTAAGAAATAAATGGTCAGCTGGAGCTCGAAGCGCGACACTCTAGACCTTTAGGCATCTTGATTTTGCTGGATTTAAGGGCTAATTCTGCGTCCATTTTATTACACGTGTGCAATGCAAATGTGTAAATCTGTTTAACGTTTTCATTTTTTTGGGTAGTGACGTTAGTTCAAGAGAGGGGATCACGTGGCTAAGTAGGTAAGACGCTGGCTCGCTAGCCTGGAGGTCGGGTGTTCGATCCCTGCATTGGCCGAGAAAGTTCATCCAGATTTTCCGGCATGGTTCCCCCTTGTCAGTGATGCAGGACGGAGGGCCTGACAAGGACAGCTGTCTAGTCCTTCGGATGAGACGAAAAACCGAGGTCCCGTGTATATATTGGAATGCACGTAAAAGATCCCCTGGCAGTTGGAATTCGATATAAGAGTAGGCGATAGTGCCGCTGCCCGGGCTATGCTTTGTTGCACATGTTTATAGTCTAAATCGTCTGTAAATTACTCTAAAATAATGCCCCGCCCACTCCACGTATAAGTAAAGTTCCCGGAGGGTTGTCCGAGTTTGTATTATCGGCTACCCAACATGTTGAGGTGGCGGAAAGATTCTAGCCATTACCAGATCGGTTAACTATATATTTTAATGATCAAGCCTTTGTGGACGATTTTGCTATTAGAATACTAAATCTTTAAATCTTTAAATGCCATCTAGAAGCACGGTTAACTATTCATAACAAAACACAACACAAGGTATAGATGGATGTAACTATTTCTCTATTATTTAATAACGACGTTTCGTAAAACATACAGGTCACGTTTTCAAGTTAATGATAAATATCCATCTAGTCAGCCTATTTATACATTAGAATACTAGCAACGTTGTTTGTTCGGGCACTTTAAAAGCTTACATTATCCGTTAAGTAAATTAAAGAATGCTTCCGTACTCTCTTTAAAGTTCATGGAGGGTGGACCGAGTATAAATTATCTGCTACTGGTGATTGTTCAACAACATGCGGAGGAGGAGAACAGATTCTGACCTTTACCAGATCATGCACGGACCCATCTCCTATGTATGGTGGCAATGACTGTGTTGGTGATACCGAAAGTACTGATACCGAGACCTGCAATGAATATCCCTGCCCAGGTAATACTTGTGGTTAAATATCTATGGTAATATACGTTACAGCCTAAGGTCTATTATGGAAAGAGACAGACAGACGGGGTGGGAGACAAAAAGCAAGAGGTAGGGGACAGAGAGAAAGGTGGAAGGATTGTATGCAGGATGTGTTTGGTTCCTCGGGATTGTTTGGTGTGGTTTCCCCATGTCAGGATTTGGGGTCTGGAAAGGAACAGCTTTTATCACCCAATAATACATTCTACAGTCGATATCGCTTGTGTGATATATTTCATAATCTAGTGAATTTGATTGATCAGGTGAAAAGGAACTCCTTTTTTATTTTCAAAGAACAGTTCATTTCTTATTAAAAGTAACTTTTTTACAATTAAAAATGAACTATTGTTATTCAATTGACCTTGATGGAAACACTGGGTCAATATAAAGTACTTTGCAATGGTTGGATTGCTGTCAAAAAATGATGTATTAATACGCCGTAATTTTCAGTAAAAGTGAAATCTACAGCAAAGAATTATATTTATCTATTTGTGCATGTAAGAAGGGATTGGGTGATAAATAAAATCTCCTACTCGTCTTCTTTGATATCATAAAATATCAACACTCGTTGATAAAGTAAAAAGAAAACTCGACAGAGCCTCGTTTTTTGTTACTTTATCAACTTGTGTTGATATTTTTTGATATCAAAAAAGACTGGTAGGAGATTCTCTATATAGCCGTAAGGGACGAAACACTGATAGTTGGAATTTGAAAAAAAGAGTAGGCCGTAGATTCGGGCAAAATATACCGGTTTGTGTAGAAGAGCAGGACATTAAACCCGATTTTAGGGTTATGAAATACGGGTTCATTGAATACTTATTGCTTTTTTACAACGGGTTATAATCTTTATCTCAGTTAATGGTGGTTGGACAGATTTCACAGAATGGGAAGAGATCAACGAATGTGATTCCCTTTGTGGTGGTGGTATCAAGGAAGAACAGCGTGACCGAACCTGCACCAATCCAACTCCAGCTTATGGAGGTGATGACTGTGATGGTGAACTAAGCCAAGTACGAAACGTGACTTGTAATACTGAACTTTGCGGTAGTAAGTAGCTTCAATATTCATGCTTGAAGGTGCATTATGTAAGAATTAAAAACAGGGCTGACATTTCTTCACATTGCAAGCCCATAATCAACTCTCTAGAACATCGGGTGGCTGCAATTTTTAATTTTAATGGATTGAAACACGATCAATGATTTAGTATAAAAATGATTAATCGCAACTGTGTTTATTATCGTAATGATGGTGTTTGACAATCGGTTCTTCACAGACTAATAACTGCGCTCAGAAACGCGTAATTTGATTGAAAGTTTCAATATATTCATTTTCTGTTATCTAATTTGGCACTATTATAGTCAGAACGGCCAGCTCGTTATCTAAATCCCACATAATGTATCTTTAAATAACCAATCACAGATTTTACAGAGTTGTGTATATTGCATGTACAGTATGTATACGTGATAAAAGAAACCCAATCCACCCATGAGTTTATCATACAGAAAGGCAATTTTGAATATGGTATCATTCAAAATATTTTGTTAAAGCCGTCTTAATATCAACAGGTTGCCATTTAAAGGCCAAGAGCCAAAACTATTTTGATATACAAAAATGATGAGTGACAAAAGAAACTGAATTTGCGTTTAAAACTTCTAAAAACAAAATGTTCAACTGTTTTTTGCAGACAAATGCCCTTCCGGTCATGTTACATACATCGCTCATAATGGTAATAAGAACAGATTCTATCAGTGTGACAACGACGTGGCTAGACTCAGAGATTGTGCTGTAGGAACCATGTGGAGCCAAGAGCGTACGGTTTGTATTAATTTACCTGTACCCACGGAATGTAATGCATCGAATGGTCTTGTTGCCGATCCAGATAATTGCCGTAACTACAGAATATGTGACGGAGGCCAATATAAGACAGTATCATGTGGGTCTGGTAGTGCTTTTAACGCCGCTATTAAGGCCTGTGACCACGAGCTAAACGTCCCTGACTGTAATTAATCTAATTAATCTTGTTAAATTCCTTTGAAAATATTTTAACTGAACAGAAAAACACATATACATTCAGTTTTAAACTCTTTTTCTTTTATTGTAATTTCTATTCCGTTGAGTTTGGCGAGATACGCGAGAAGCCCAAATTGAATGACAGTCTTAAAGTTGAATTCCTTTGGAAATGTTTCAATAAAATTAAATAATTGTTGTTTTGAGTTTTAATATGTATTATGACATTAAATGGCTTTATTGCAACTGTTTCGATCCCTGCATGGGCCATAAGTTCATCAGGAATTTCCTGTTGGTTCCCCCTTGTCAGTGTTTCAGGACGGAGTGTCTGGCAAGAAACAACGTATAGTCGTTTGGATGGGACGAACAAACGCGGCCCTGTGTATACATTGGCGTACACGTAAAATAGATCCCTTGGCTATCCGGCGCATGCCCGTTTTCATTAACCCAGTCGGAGCAGAACAGTAATACGTTAAACTTCATTTCATTTCATTTCAATTTGTTGCCGGGTTGGTTCAGAATGGTCTAAAGCTTAAGCTTTATTTCATAAGGTCTGGCATTGAGTCATTTATTGGCGTGGTTTCTGTTTTTCTCCGACTGCTACAGCCTCCTGCTGCCATTGAGTCAATTAGTTGCGTAGTTTCTATTCCTAGTTTGTACGTGTTAACCAGTTGCTCCGCCTTTCACCTAGCTTAGCAGGTAAAATGCTGGCTCGCTAGCCCGGAGGTCGGGTGTTTGATCCTTTCATTAGCCGAGAAACTTCATCCAGATTTTCCGGCGTGGTTCTCCTTGTCAGGTATGTGTACACATTGGCGTGCACGTAAAAGATCCCTTGACAGTTCGAATTTTATATAAGAGTAGGCCGTAGTGCCGCTGTCCGGGCAAAATTTGCCTCATAGCACACTGTATGGCGTATGCCCGTCTTCATTAGCCCAGTTCGATACAGAAGAGTAGGACGTTAAACCACATTTAATTTCCGCCTTTCTCCGACAGCTAAAGACTCCTATGCGCAACCGAATGATTGAAATAAAACGTAACTATACGTTTATCTAGAAATTGCATAGTTTGTGTCGAGTGGGCGTTAAATAATGCTTCAGAATTATAGCGGACGTGGGGGGGGGGGGGGAGGGGGCGGGATCTGTGTGCAATTACTTGACCCCTCAATTTGACTCTTTAATTATATTGGGAACCCTTATGGGATTATAAAAAACTGGGATGTGGGTTTTGGTAAAGATAGCGTCGTTCCAACCTTTGGTACAGGCAATCCATTAAAACCAACGGCCAGATGAAAAATGCGTGTAGAGTAATAAACAGCCACTAATTTATTTGAGCGACATTTTGAAAAGTGTTCTGTCAACGTTATGGATCAAAGGTCATTAATTGACACATGACAATGGTTTATTCGCTGATGTTGTTATTAGATATTAGTCTTTACTGAGAAGTGGAAAACAATCCAAATAGCGGCGAAATGGCTCATCCTCCAGCATTAATTAATACTACCAAATACCACACAATGCTAATTAAATACTACCAAATACCACCCAATACTACCTAATAACACCCAATACTACCTAATAACACCCAGTACCAATTTAAAAACACCACCACACAACATATTTTAACCATATTATTGTGAAAAACTAACATAGTACTTCAATTACGTTACCGAAATGAATTAATTCGCGGAATTACAAATAATACATGTGTTACACAATAGGGGAATATTATGGAAACGTTATCATGTCACCTTTGACACATGAATTACAAAACATACAAGCTAGCATTTTACTCACTGGGCCACATTGGCTCCAATAACAAAATAATGCCATGGAATACTATATAGGTGTGATTAATACCAAATAAGGAAACATATATTTTATTTTAAATTTTACGACTGGGGTATGCTAATATCCCTGTTTATTCCCTCATTTCAAACCCTGTTTATTTTATTAAATAACACGTTCAATGCTTTGTCTTGTGGCGTACCTATACTTAAACTTAATGTTTCACAAAGGTATTGCCAAAGAATTCTTCTAACTCTGTATAACATGACTGACCTGTTTAAGTTCATTGGCCTTCTACATGTGACGTCACATCACACAGCGTCGATCATTGGCTCGATGGCCCGTGCATTCTTCACCTAACACCCTTATTCATTTTTCTAAAACTTAAGAAAAAATGTACTAGAATTTAATTCGCAGAAGGTAAAAAGTTAATATATTTGTTAGGTAATTAACTCGCACGCACCGATGTCATCCCTCTCCGTGTTTGTAGTTGCCTAGCGAATATTCACTGCTGATCCTTGTGACTTAAACTGTTTAGCCTACTTTGACAATAAATATTAACTAAATCCATGTCAACAAATCAGTCAAACCCGATACTTTTATATAAGTGGAGACATCACCTACTGTCCTATATGTAAATAAAGTAAACAGATCAATGTTATAGATTATCGATTAAGGGATTGGACAGTAGGTAGAATTTCAAAATATGCTCACTGATAATAAAGACCCCAACCAACTTTAAAACACTTTATAATGATTTTGAACAAATAACCGACCTGAAAACTCATGTTTCGATATTTACAAGATACAAAGGGGCGGGACGATTTACCCAATATTACCCAATACAACCCCAATATTACCACATACTATCCAATACTACATAGTGACGCAAAATGGGCATATTACTTCATTGTTTTCAAAATTAGCGAGTTTTAATTACGGGAAATTTACTTCAAATGAGATTATACCGATGTCTGGCTGTTCCATTTGCCTCCCTATATCACCCAAAATAAACAAATAATAACCCAATACGACCAAATACTGATCAAATACTGCCCAATATTATCAATTATAAACCTGTAAAGGTAAATCTCTTTGATATTTTAGGTATATTCGATGCCCGGAATAGACCACCCTCTCTCTCTCTCTCTCTCTCTCTCTCTCTCTCTCTCTATCTATCTATCTCCCTATAAAACATTTAAATGTAGGGCCTATTAAACATGGTATAAATATTAACCATCTTTGAACACTCCGACTGATCTTATAACAATCTTATTGAACTACGAGTATATACTGAATAAGAAGGAGATTCCGTTTGCTATTGCTTTTAACGAAGGGGTCGAAGAAACAGCGTGGGATCTGCTTTTTTTCTGACAATGAGAGAGAGAAATGGGGTTTAACGTCCACTCGACACATACTAGGTCATTTCGGGACTAACACATGGTTTAATTCTATATCAATAATTCGCATCTGCGGTAGGAGGAAACCGGAGGACCCAGAGAAAACCCACGAGGTTGGACAGGAAACCCTACTCTTTGTCACGTATAAGCGGGGAATCGAAACAATCATTTTTCTTGGAAAGCACTTCTAAAATATTATCTATTCTACGATTAAGTGAAATGAAATGAAATGCTGTTTAACGTTCTACTGTTCTGCTCTGTTCTGAAGTCAGGCACACGCCATACAATGCGCTATGAGTGAAATTTTGCCCGGACAACGGTACAACGGTCTACACTCATATCGAATTCCGACTGCAAAGGGATCTTTCACGTGCACGCCAATATGTCCATTCTACGTATAACTGAACACGATAATATAAATGGGGTTTAGTGTCGTGTCAACGCAATACTTCCATTATTTTGAGACTAACATACGGTTATCTTATGTGAAATGAAAGGGGAAAGGAAGGCCTATCCCACCCCCATCCCCTCACAAAAATAACGAACGTTTACCAAAAACCCTAAATTCACTTAAAAATAATCCTTTCTTGGATAAAAACAAAACGCGTTGGTTTTACCGAACTATTTTCTGTCGTCATGATCAACATCGATATTTTTCACAACTATACAAAAACGTTAGTTTTAGATCATATGGTTAAATCTTGGCTTGACTGTGAATGGATGTGGGTGTGGGCGGTGGATTGGGGTGTTTGGGGGCGGGGCGTGACTGAGTGGTCTAACATATCATACAGTCTATCATCGCACGGCCCCCAATTATGCCCCAAACCAACTATAGCACTCACAAGTTTTTCGGAAAAGAACTATAACTACGGAATAGAAGGATTGGTGCACATCAAAATCAAACATAAGACTTAGTCCGGTTCCTACTTGTCAGTGGTCTAGTGGTTATGCCTGCCAGGTCGACAGGTTAAATTTGGTCTAGTCTTGCGGATGGAACACAAACCCGGCGTAAATATCTTACCCAATATTATGCAGAGTCTTCCACATTACAAACACGAATTATAGGTCTATTCAAATCAATTGTGGTGTAGGCTCCTGACATCTAATAGTTAAGATACAGTAAACATTTTGAAAGACCCTGGCTCGCTAGCCTGGCGGTCGGGTGTTCGACCCCTGCATTGGCCGAGAAAGTTTATCTAGATTTCCCGGTGTGGTTCTCCCTTGTCAGTGATGCAGAACGGAGGGCCTGAAAAGGACAGATGTCTAGTCGTTCGGATGGGACGAAACACCGAGGCCCCGCGTATACATTGGTGTGCACGTAAAAGATCCCTTGACAGCAAAAATTCGATATAAGAGTAGGCCGTAGTGCCGCAGTCCGGGCACAATTTCCCGCATAGCACACTGTACGGCGTATGCCCGTCTTCATTAGCCCAGTTCGGAGCAAAACAGTAGGACGTTAAACCCCATTTCATTTCATTTAGATTACCTTATGCTCTGGGACGCTATATGTAATGGTACGCCTTGAAAGCAATACACGGCAATAAATACGTTTAATATGCATTGGTTACATAATGTTAGTAAGAGACCAAGGTCTCTATATTTCTATAGCCCATATCTACGTGGTAGCGAAACAGTGTAAGGTAAGCAGTTCAATCGCTTTTATTTCCAGGTTTCATATGGTGTAAGGTCAAGGAAACAACAGTAATTGCAACAGTTCTACACAGCGAAACAATCACTGATTTGTTTTTTTTTAGAATGCAACTTCTTGTAACGAGTATACATACAATCTAATAGCCCCGTCAGACCGCGGTGGCGTCCTTACAGTGTTGCTACAGCGACGGAAAATGGTCTCAGAGCGCTTCAAGATCGCCGAAACTCAATCTCTGACAGACAATTCAGCCTTGAAAGTCCGACGTTTTCACGTTTTCTATTTGAACGGCAAAACGCGGATACGGATGCGGGTGCGGATACGGATACGTTTATGGATACGGATGTAGTATGAACCGAGCTTTACT